GTATATATGAACAAAGGGAAGAGAAATACAGAAAAAAAAAACTAAAACTACAAAAATATTACTTTCAACTGAGAAAATAAGTTTCCATTTATTAAGAGCTGGTGTCAATGCAGGTCAAAATACACACCCATTCAGGAAAGGAGTCAGTATTTACCTGGCCCATTTTGTTTTCTTTTTTGGATTTACTAAAATACGCCATTGGCCATTTAAAAATTATTTTAATAATTTTTCCCATAATTATGATTAGTTGTGGTAGTGACAATCATTCTCCTCAAAGAAAAAGAGAGAAAGAAGAGAAATAGGCATTAAGGAGTCTGGCCACATATTCATTTTGATTTTGCATTGTTTAGATATTGGGAAGATATTTGAAAATGAAAAAAAAAAAAAGAAAAAAATATATTTTCTATCCAATAAGTAAAAATAATTTGAAATGCTAGAAGCTATACATGACTATTTTAGTATGTTCATTTATAAATGAAATCATTTTCTTTTCCAAAATACATGGAAGCAATAGTCAAGGCAGACAAAGAGAAAGATCTGTCTACTTTATTTTCTTGCAATTCTTGCTTATCCTAACATTTCCACCAGTGATTCAGCATGTAAGAGGAAGAAAAGTCACGTCACCATTTATGAAGTTTGTCAGGCTTTAAAAAAATAGTTCTGGCCTCCTGGGAGTCAACATTCATCTTCGACTTCTCTGATTGGTGGAATCAAGCTGCTTGTGGATTTATATTGGTTGATCTGGTTAGCCATGTGGGTACTCATGGGCTTGATTTGAATGTTTCTGGGATAGGCATTATCCGGTTCATCTGTAAACCATTTCTTTTCTGCTAAAGGGCAAAATGGATAGAGAAGAAGAAGGAGAAATGAGAAGCTTAATTAGTCCTAGGGTAAAGCTTTTGGAAAGTTCATTGAAAAATGCAAAAAGGTAATCGATGAAGCCAACAGTGAGTAGTTGCTAAAAGAGACAGTGCAGTGTAGGGAGGAACCCCAGAACCTAAAACATACCTCTGCTTCCTGTAGCAAATGATAAACAAAACATGCCATCAGAACTTGGGGGCACCATGAGTGGACCTCAGAGAATAAGGAAGGATTGGAAGATGATCTCTGTGTTCTGTGAAGTTAACTTTAATAACTTGAGTCTACTCTTTTGGAGAGGAGAGGCTATGTATATCAGATATTGGGTATGGGCATTGCCCATGAGGACAGGTTTGTGCATTGATTTGAGTGGAACATGGGCATCATTCCTGAAAAAAAAAAGTGAGTGGTCTAGAATCTCACGCAGGATCACCTCCACCCAGCCTTTACTTAAAGACTTTGCTTTTAACAAGCATACGTAAAGGCATATATCAACTGTATTATTCTTGTTTCTTTTCAGTCAGTTTTGGGGGTCTTAAATAAACCCATAGAATTTGCTGGCCAATGAGGGCAAAATTAGAATAAAAATCAATGTTTTAAAAGGATCCAGAGATGGCAGTTATTTCAAGAAAGAAAACTCTGTGTTGGTATAGGTACGAAGAGTTTCAAGTGACAATATCTTAACCAACCATAATAACCCAGGCTGTCGACATGGGAACTCAATGAAGTCTCGGCATTTCATTTCCACCCCAAACACAGAAATGACTGAGGAAGAATGCTGACTCAGGGTGTTTGGGGGCTGGAGTGAGAATAAAAATGATCTCACATCCTCTTAAGCAGGGCAGCGCTATTTTACAAGACTCGGCCCTCATCCCCGCCTCTTTTAGGATTGAAATTTTCTGGGAAATTGGCCATGTGTATAGATAGGAAAGACTGGGCAAATAGGACATTATAACTTGGGAATCATACATCTCATTCTAGTGACTTAGAAAGAAAAAGGGAAAAAAGCTTTCAAGCACATCTGCTATAGGAACAAGGGCCTCTCCAGCTTCCTTTTCTGCCAACCAGAACCATTCATAACTGTCTTGTCAGTGGTTCTGACGTGTTAATGCAAGTTGCTCACCTGGCTTGATGAGTGTGCGTGTGTGTGTGTCCATCCCCATCTGGCTGAGTTATAAATTAAGCATCTATGATCAGCTCATGACTATTTCTCCTTGATCCCCGATTCTGTTGTTACACTACGGGTTGTTGCTAGAGCTAGGATGATCCTAGGCAAAAGTCTTACTATCCTTTGTTCAGCAGCTCAGTTTCCCCGTCGGGAAACTTGCTACCTTTTGCATCACTCTTCCCCCTCCCCCTCCTGCTCTGGCTCTCTCACCTATTATAATTAAGTTCACTTTGATTTGAACAGATTGGACGATAGGAATTCATAATGCTACATCCTCACAGTGAAGCTAACTGATTAAGTGCTTTAAATTATTCCCCCTGACAGAATGATAAAGTTACAATCTGTTCTGAGATGATCTACAGCTTGCCAGACTCCTACAGCTTCTTTCTACATTCATTTATCTTTTTGTCAAGCAGAGTTTTTTTTTTTTTTTTTTCCTAAGCTTCAATTTCATAGATCTTTTAAAGTCATCAGCACATCTGAATTATTAATGAGGCTTTAGAGGCAAGGCTCCTGATGGGCTGGTTAAAAAAGGTTGTATAGAAATCCGGGACTGTGTACACATCAAAATAATTTCAGCTCCATTTAAAAAACCATTTAGTTCAAGTGTGACATAGATGAACCATTATGCATTTGTGGAAACCAATTTTTTGTGATCTACGATTAAACTAACCTTTCAGAGAGGAGTAAAGTGTGATGGTTATCATGTTTAAAAGCATTGCCAGGCTGCTGAAACAATTTCAAACTGTGACTTTTTCAAATGGTTTGTGTGTAAAGATGATTTTCAGAGGGCTTGAGCTGGTGTTTGTGCTGTTTGGGCTGCCCTTGGCTTTGGCCAGGTTGTTATGCAGACTGATTTAGCAAGAGGATTGAGTACTGGTTTGGACATGCCAGGTTGGGGGAGAGAACTCTGCTGATGGAAACGGGTAGGTCTTTTGGGTGAAAGACTTAAGACAGCTGCAATCTGCTGAAATTTTTACAACTGCTACACAGGATAATTGTTCAGAATTTAGTCTTCACAGTTCAATTCAAAGTTGGCATCTTGACCTTTCAAGGCAGAGAGAATATCAATTTTCTTCTACTGTCTATAAGAAAGAGAACATTATTACCCCATTTAAGCTTCTCTACTTTTAAATTTCTTGCCATAAAAATAAAAAATACTGAAGCAGAGTAGCCCCTGTGTTTTGACCATGTAGCTCCAACACAAGAGAGGAGTTACGATGGAGCACATTCTGAGAAGTTGAGGTTTTCATTTTGCCTGAGTAACAGCTAATTTGAGTGCCAACTAAATTATAAACATATGTGTTGTTAGAGACTGGTTTAGAGAGGATGTTGAGAAAATGGAAATATGTAAATACTCTGGATATTTTGCTAAAATATCTAGTGGCAAAGGTGTTTTATGAAGAGATTCTCCTAGAGAGCTTCAGAGGAACATACATTTCAATGATCAGTAGTCACTGGGCTTCGGTGAAGAATGCTTCAAGTATGACAGTGATAATTCAATGTATTGCATCTTGCCTTCCAAAGGGGAAAAAAAAAAAAAAAAAACAGCACCAATGGATGGCTATGACATTGACCACAAGGAAGAAGATTCAGAGAAGAAATGTGAATGAGAGCAAAAGTGGTTGGGGAAAAATCCCAATCCCTGAGTTTATCTGCACTCCCTCTCATCTCACACACACCAGAATGATTTCTGGGGGCTTCGTTTTCATTTCTCCAATGAGAAGGGCAATTGACATGGCCGTGAGTACAAAGTGTGACCTGTCTGGACTTTTTGTCCCATGGCAGCTAGTAGAGGTTAATGAGGATGGCATTTCACTGGCTGTGGCAAGTGGGCTAGTCTGGACAGTAACTGCAGAAAGATGTTGGAAAAACATCTGATTGGAAGATGTCATCTGTCATTAGACCAGCTGTGCCATGAGCTGTCCACCATGGACAAGCAGTAAACTGTAGGCCAAGGAAACAGTGTGGGGTTGTGGGTTCAAATCAAGTGGACCTGGCTCTCTCGCATTCTAGTTGCATGGCTCTGAGCAAGTTAGTTTATATTTTATCCTAGCTTCATTTCTCTTCTGTAAAATAGGGCTGATAAAAAGACCTTCTCAATATTGTTCAGATAAATGAAGCTAGTGTCCATGAAGCACTTACCATAGGTCTAGATATACGGAAAGTAGACATGAGTTACTAAGATTATTAGTATTATTAATAACATTAGCATTACATCATAGTGACTAATTTCATCTACTTTAGTGTCCCTCAGATTCTGTATCTTTCTGATGGAATTATAGCATCTAGATGCACGGTCATGGTAAAGATCAAATGAGCTAATGCATGCAAAGTACATGGAAGAGTGCTTCTGGTCATCACTGAGGTGTTGACTTTGGCATAAGGTCAGCATTAACATGAGTACTATCGATACTAAAAGAATGGACAGATAGGTGATACCCATTGGGTGTGATGTCCTTCAGCAGAAGAGCTGAGAGTAGAGAACTGAGGTATATAAATTGGGGCACTAACTTGAAGAATGTGGCTTGTGGCACTAGGGATGACAGAGGAGGATTTAATTGGTAGCTGTCATTTGGAAGGTGAAGAAGAGGAAGGGTGAGCCTGGTGCTGTGTCTGGGAAGTTTGGGGCTGCTACCCTTCCATGTGCCTCTGTAGCTCTAAGATATTGGCTCTCCCTCTACAGGCAATACTCCACCTGACAACTAGCTCTATCTCCCATTGATAGGGTCATCGCTGAGGTCACAGAGCTTAGAATAAGGGTTAGGACTTCCTCCTGTCACATGGCTGTGTGTCCGCTGGGATCCTGGAGGAGTGAACTATGGCAAGGAAGGAGCCAGACTTAGGGCAATGAAGCCGCTTGGGTCCCCATAGGAAGAGGGAGGCACAGGCTGCACTCTGCAAAATGAACTGCTTTGCTGGCTATGTGGTTTCCCAGTGCTGTGGGCTTGGCCTTTCCCTGTACCTGCTCCCGAGAAGAGTGCTCAAAAGTGGAGACATGATATAGCAAAGACATTTGATGGCCTGCTCCCTGTACCACAAGCCAAAGTTTAGACAGAAAAGACTTGGAGGTGGAAGATTCTACCTAGGTAAAGATCCCAATACAGAACAGTAAAGGCTAACTGGGAGTGGCAACCTTCGAAGTTAACGTAGTGCCGTCCCACATTTCCCATTTCTGATAGGCAGTCTAGGCTCCTCTGCTGCCCAGCAAACCCTGATTCCACCACCAACCCCACTCCACATACTGCCTCCTCTCTTCTCTGAGGGCAAAGTCTGGCTATTTCACAGACATGAAAATCATTTGTTGGGCCAGCAGGAGGCATAACAGTTAAGGTACTGGAATCCCACATGGCTGACTATGGTATGAGTCCTGGACCCACATGGGCATGTGTGCCCAAAATCCCAGGAGGAGAGTAGAAGAGAAGGGATTACAGCATGGCCATCCCCACTGGGTGTGGGGGAGGGGAGGCATGATTTCTTACTTTCTCTCTCTCTGTCCCTTTGGCGAGTGTGCACACCAAAGAGCAAAAATCTCTAAAAAAAAAAAAAAAAGAAAAAATTGTACCAGAACCTGAGCAATTACCGTTTATAGTAACTCTCTCAGTTATTTGCAACTGTCCGCTGTGTTTCTATTTGTCTCTTTTTTCTTTTTCTTTTTTTTTTTTTTTTTTTGAGAGGTTTTCGCTATAGGGCACGTGCACTCGCCAGACAGACAGAGAGAGACATAGAGACAGGAAGCAAGAAATCACCCCCCCAGGGGGGATGGTCACGCCACAATCCCTTCTCCTCCATTCTCCTCTCGGGATCTTGGGCACGCACGCACACGTGCCCAGCGTGAGTTTTAAGCCACCAGGTCCGGGTCGCGGACCGCGGTCGACTACGTGGGAGTCCAGCGACATAACCATTACGCTAACTACTGGTTCCATTTGTCTCTTTTAACTCAAAGTCTAGTGCTGCCATTTGCTGAACAGAACAAACTGCCCTCTCCTGGCCCTCCTCTGTGGCCCCTGGTCTAGTCAATGCTCTCAGGAAGGACTTTCCACTTTACCCTTTGGGGCGGCACCTCTGATGATGGTTGCAATGAATATGCACAGTCTCAACATGGGGGATAATCAGCCAGTTTAGAAGCCGGTGCCCACAGCGACTTCATCAACATGTATGGCAAAGGAGGGATGGGCTGAAAGAAGCTGACTGAGAAACTGATTTTTACCCTGTCTCGACTTTCAGGGGTCCTGAAGTTTCTGCACTCTCTGGTTTCTGGTTCAAGAGCCTGCTACTATAGGAAACTGGCAGGTTGATTTAATTGTCTCTATAGGGATGCAGATGTTTTCAGGCTTCTCCCATGCTGAAGAAGAGCCAGTCAGAAGGTCTGGTCAATGGGGATCTTGACAATGCTACCAAGAGGTATGGTAAATTGCTACTCATTGAGCTTACAGAACTGTTCTTTCTAGGAAGCTACGTCCCTAGCTTAGTAATTGCCACCAGCACAGTGTGGTTGTGAAGCACAGAGAGGCATTCATTGTGGTTTTTCCTTTTTTTACAGATAAGCCAATGGGACAAGGATAATTTATTAAATGCTTTTGAAGTATAAAAATAATTAAGGTCAATTATTTGAAATATTTATTAAGCATCTGTTGTTAAGGTTCTGGGTCCTAACCTTTAATATTCAGGACAGAATTGGAAACTTCTCTCAGTTGTAGTAGAAAATTCACTCTACATGTAGAAGGAGTCAGCTTTCTTTTGGTACATTTGAATCTGCTTTTGGAAGGATGCTGGGTAGTGGTCATTAGGGACATTGATAATTCCATGCTCGTCTCAGTGTTGAGGCTGAAAGGCTTTCCTCTGCCTCCTTGTCTTACTCATTCACCTTGTTCCAAAGTCCAAAGCAAATTGGACTGAATGGCTCACAAATCGCTTCTATTCTATAACAGTGCACGTAAGCGAGTCCCTAGCTTTCTTTTCAAATGTATACACTTTCCCTTCTAGGAACCCTCACTTTCTCCCCTTACCTTTTTTTTTTTTTTTTTTTTGGGGAGGAAGTAGGAAATACATAATAAGAGAAACTCATACGGCTCATACGGCTCCTGCCTAAGTGAGCAGATGTCCTGAAAGAGGAAGGGGAAGTTTGGGATCAAATGGAAAACAATGGAGGCAACTCGTCCCTGTAAAAGTGTGACAGTTTTGGCTAATAAAAAAGAAGTAATAATGATACCTTTTCCATCACTAAATATACCATTACCCAAATATGGTCATTTCTAAGTTATCTACCAGTGCAGCTTGGTTGTGTGTTTAAAGTCCAGGGAAAAACCCCAAATTTCATCTCATGTCATAGTCTGTTCCCATTCCATTCCCATTGCGGTATCATCTCATCATTGCTAATAGATTGTATATAAAGCACATTTTGAAATTACTTCTCTCTGCCCAATCTCTAGTTAAGATTTAGCAAATGTCTGAAAGGCAGGTGGCAGGAGAGACTTGTGCAATATAGAAACCAAATTATCACCCCCCCCCCAGTAACTGGGTGTGGGCCACTGAGTTGATACGTACAGTTGACCATTTGATCATATCAATCACATGCAAAGGAGACCAATGCTTTGCCACTAATAACCCTCCTGATTTCAATAAAAGGAGGGTAAAATATTAACAGAGAAGCCGATTTGCCAAATGAAATAGCAACAAATGTTTTCCAGAAAGATTTACCAACTGGCATCATCATTTGATTTAGAAGGTCTTGCCAATATAAACACAGAGATGTGAACAGACTGATGGGGGGACTGGGTTGGGGGTGGTGGTGATGGGGGAAGTGAAGGAAGCTGGGTTTCTTCATGGGAAAATGCTTTTGGACTTGGAGCAAGGTACCAAGGTGGGCAGGGAGGCCACGTGCAGATTTAAAGGCAAGCCAGATGGAGAGAAGTTCCCCCCAAATGACCCAACCCCAACCCGAGAACACCAAAACAAACTCTAAGGAATCTAGCAAGAGCAGCAGCACAGCCTCATTGCGCTGAGCAATTTAGAAAGTGGAGGAAGGAAGAGAAGAAGGAAGGGTAAAGGAGGAGGACAGGGGAGAAACAAAAGCAAAACAAAATAAAAAAATACAAACAAAACAATATAAATAAAAATAAACAAACCAATAACAGAAAAAAATTTGTAACTCCTTTTTTTTTTTTTTTAATTTCACAAAAGTTTTCACAAGGACAACGTTATAGAAGAAACCCCCAGCAGTGGCTAGGTCATGCAGAACCATTAATTGTCATACCTTGGCCCATTCTATTCATCCTTGTTGCACTTTAGAGAGAGAAGTAAGCTATGTGAGTTTTACAATGCTTTTAAACTGTCATATTTCCTGTTGAGCACTTTAACTGGCACATTCTTATAGTTATAAATGATCTGAGGGCGTAACTTTATAACCTCCTTTGCAAAGAATGCATGAAGAGCTCTTCATGATCCGAAACTAGGGGGAAGGTATATATAGTTATATATATATAGTGATATTATATATATATAGTTATATATATTGTTATATATAAAAAGATAGTTATACATAATATGTAAATCAATGTAGATAGGGACAAAACTCATTTGAAAGAAGTTCTTCCACTTGAGGACTCTTTAATAGACATGTATACAATTATCCCCCACCCCATTACTGGTTTGGTTACTATACTGCCCTGTCTTTGGTGTGGTGGGGGGAGATGGGTAGAGGTTCTGGCTGAGCGTCACCATTTTGTCAGTAAAAGTGCTTGTCAATTCACACAGCAAGCAAATCTCCAAAACTACCATGCTGGAGGGGACAAGGGATCCAAAATCTAAACCCAAAACATTCACCATAAAAACACCTTTTCAGAGATGGTACAGCTGTGACATTTTTCTCTTTCCTTCCACCACTATTCTATGAAATGAAAGTTAGTTAAGTAAACATTTCAAATATGTCTATACCCGCGCAGGGGCCAGTCCAGCCATACTAGAATTTGGTTATGGTGGATTTGGCCAATTTTTAAGAACTACTGTACTGCCTAAAGCACTATTTGCATGCATAACACATCTGACAATTGTATGTTGTAAAAAGGGCCTTTCCTGCCTTTCCTGCCTTTCCTGTCATGCTTACTAAGTGTTAAAAAAAAAAAAAGAAAGAAAATCAAAGAAAAAATATACCAAAATGTGTTTGGCTCGCTGTTGTGCTCTTGTCCCCGTCTCTTAACGAGGAGCAGCTCTCTGTTACTGTTGTGCACCTGCCTGAGTGAACTGGTTAAAGAAGCCTAAGATGAGGAATTTTTCCCGGCCAGCTTTTTGCTCTGGGACAGCCAGCTTCATGCAGCTGTACTCGCAGTTTAAGGTGGTAGCTGGCTTTTGTCTTTGTTGAGTCAACTGTGGCTTGATCCTCCTCATTCTGATTTATTTAGCACACCGGCTTCTAGGAAAACAGGATCTGCTGCTGGTTTATCTCCCTCTCGCTCTCCCGTCTCATCTCCCAGGCCCTTGCTCCTACCTGGCACTGGGGCCCTAGCTAATCAAACAAAGGGGAGTAAAAAGGTCCCCTGAGAATGTGTGGAAAAATACTTGCTCTTTCCTGAGCATTATTTATTCTGTACATAAGGTAAGTAATTCACCTTTTAAAAGATGTAAAAGTCCCAGGAAGGCAGTTTTTAATGACTTACATCTGATATTTATGATACATATGGCTTTTCATCCCAAATGTCAAAAGTGAAAGAAAAAAATAGCTATTCATATGGCAGCATAAGGAGACAGAATAACAATTTAATATGCAATCAAACCTCTTTTTTCCCTTAAATTAAATGACTAGGATTTGATACATCCATGAATGGAATATTCTTCTTTCCTCCATATTAAGATTAGAAATGTTCCTATAAACTCCCAAAGGAAGCTAGCTCTGGGACTAAAGGCCTTGGTGAGTAACTAAAAAAATCTCTGATGTTCTCTTGCAACTAGCAGGTGCTTAATAATCATCTACAGAAACTGTGAAAGCTTTTCAAATGCTTTGTGATACTTCAGCCTGGAGAGTGCAAACAATCGATATGTTTTCATTGCTTTTTGTTTGCTCGTTTCAAATAAATGTGTGCTAACTTATTGTGTGAGTGTGTATATAAAAAAGGAAGGAAGGAAAACAAGAACAACAAAAAAAACCTCCTTTGCAAAGAATGCATGAAGAGCTCTTCATGATCCGAAACTAGGGGGAAGGTATATATAGTTATATATATATAGTGATATTATATATATATAGTTATATATATTGTTATATATAAAAAGATAGTTATACATAATATGTAAATCAATGTAGATAGGGACAAAACTCATTTGAAAGAAGTTCTTCCACTTGAGGACTCTTTAATAGACATGTATACAATTATCCCCCACCCCATTACTGGTTTGGTTACTATACTGCCCTGTCTTTGGTGTGGTGGGGGGAGATGGGTAGAGGTTCTGGCTGAGCGTCACCATTTTGTCAGTAAAAGTGCTTGTCAATTCACACAGCAAGCAAATCTCCAAAACTACCATGCTGGAGGGGACAAGGGATCCAAAATCTAAACCCAAAACATTCACCATAAAAACACCTTTTCAGAGATGGTACAGCTGTGACATTTTTCTCTTTCCTTCCACCACTATTCTATGAAATGAAAGTTAGTTAAGTAAACATTTCAAATATGTCTATACCCGCGCAGGGGCCCGTCCAGCCATACTAGAATTTGGTTATGGTGGATTTGGCCAATTTTTAAGAACTACTGTACTGCCTAAAGCACTATTTGCATGCATAACACATCTGACAATTGTATGTTGTAAAAAGGGCCTTTCCTGCCTTTCCTGCCTTTCCTGTCATGCTTACTAAGTGTTAAAAAAAAAAAAAGAAAGAAAATCAAAGAAAAAATATACCAAAATGTGTTTGGCTCGCTGTTGTGCTCTTGTCCCCGTCTCTTAACGAGGAGCAGCTCTCTGTTACTGTTGTGCACCTGCCTGAGTGAACTGGTTAAAGAAGCCTAAGATGAGGAATTTTTCCCGGCCAGCTTTTTGCTCTGGGACAGCCAGCTTCATGCAGCTGTACTCGCAGTTTAAGGTGGTAGCTGGCTTTTGTCTTTGTTGAGTCAACTGTGGCTTGATCCTCCTCATTCTGATTTATTTAGCACACCGGCTTCTAGGAAAACAGGATCTGCTGCTGGTTTATCTCCCTCTCGCTCTCCCGTCTCATCTCCCAGGCCCTTGCTCCTACCTGGCACTGGGGCCCTAGCTAATCAAACAAAGGGGAGTAAAAAGGTCCCCTGAGAATGTGTGGAAAAATACTTGCTCTTTCCTGAGCATTATTTATTCTGTACATAAGGTAAGTAATTCACCTTTTAAAAGATGTAAAAGTCCCAGGAAGGCAGTTTTTAATGACTTACATCTGATATTTATGATACATATGGCTTTTCATCCCAAATGTCAAAAGTGAAAGAAAAAAATAGCTATTCATATGGCAGCATAAGGAGACAGAATAACAATTTAATATGCAATCAAACCTCTTTTTTCCCTTAAATTAAATGACTAGGATTTGATACATCCATGAATGGAATATTCTTCTTTCCTCCATATTAAGATTAGAAATGTTCCTATAAACTCCCAAAGGAAGCTAGCTCTGGGACTAAAGGCCTTGGTGAGTAACTAAAAAAATCTCTGATGTTCTCTTGCAACTAGCAGGTGCTTAATAATCATCTACAGAAACTGTGAAAGCTTTTCAAATGCTTTGTGATACTTCAGCCTGGAGAGTGCAAACAATCGATATGTTTTCATTGCTTTTTGTTTGCTCGTTTCAAATAAATGTGTGCTAACTTATTGTGTGAGTGTGTATATAAAAAAGGAAGGAAGGAAAACAAGAACAACAAAAAAAATCAAAACCCAAAGCACCCTGATAATTCTGATAAATCAGAATAAACTTTTCTTTTACATTAACTAAACTTGCCCTGCCTAACTGACATTGATCACAAGTGCTCTCTTCTAATCTGTGAACTCATTCCTGCAGTGAGCTATTTATGTCTGGAGCCTGCCTTTGGGTTATTTTTCCCCTAGAATCATAAATAACTTTTGGTCCGTCTGCTTATTTGCTGTTGTGCTCAAGGGTTTTATGGTGGTGAAATAAAAATGACAACCACATGCACACTATCATACATATGCAAATATGTGTAAAAAAGGGGAGGGGGACTACAGGGGGAAAACAGGGAAAGTTACTTTGTTGGAAACACCAACTGGGGAAATGAGTGGCAGATACAGTTTCACACACGGTGGCGGTGGGTACACATATCAAAGCCG